CCCCCCCCCCCTCTTCACTAGTTAACATAGAAAAGGGCTAACGGCAAATGTGTCTTGACAATCATGGAATCTTGGCTGGTCAATGTAATTCCCAGATAATAGGGTGCTGGAGGTGACGTCGGAGAAACTCGCCATTGTCCACATCGTATCCAGCATCGATGAAATCGAGACTTTCTCTGTCAATAGACTTCGCGGTCACGTTTTCCGTGCTGCTTTGGGTGTGTCATACTAACTGTAGCGGTTGTGTTTCCGCTTCTCAAACTCCGGCAGGCCTATTCAATCTACATCGGTCGCGGCCATTATATCCCTTCACACAAGTCGAGGAACGTGTGTGAATGTTGGTAGCTAATACGCATCTTTCGGCTACTTGATGAAATATACCCAACGATATTTTGGCTTCACGCCTTGGACGTCACCAGCGAGTACGCACGAATTTGAGCTGGCAAGACGTGGATTACAGCAACTGTGTAAGGATGGGATAGGAGCGATGCTTCTTTCCTAGAGCGTCAAAGGTACCGCAGTATTGCAAATGTTCTGAAACGCGGTCACCGTAAATCAAGCAGCGGAAGAGCGTATTGGAATTGGCGTGCTCACAATACGGATCATTGGAAAACTCCAATATTTACAGGTGTGCCTGGTGTATCAACTCATTCGACAAATATTGGGGTAGAACAACTTGATACGAAAATGCGAGGAGTACTTGTAGAGCGTGAAGATATTTTCCAGCTTGTAAATCTTACAGTTCGTCACAGAAAAGAAGTACAGGACATTATTCGCGGTATGCGCTCACGATTCTGGAAGATGATGCCGCCTTCAATTGTTGACACGGTTTTCCCAGTCAGATATCTGGAAACACAGCCTCTACTCAAACCTGGAAGGCGCTTTGAAGCAAGTAAACGATATATTATGGCAATATGCTCTTGTCAAACCTCCAGCAAGAGCGCCCTACTGTAACTTTACATGAAATTGCAAGTCGGGTCCACGATCTTCCCCGTCTGATAAAGGAGTGTCACCACAATGCATGTGCTTCTGAGCGTCCACCGAATCAAGGTACCGCAAGTCAGGATCCGCTGGCAAGCCAAACCAATGACCATATGGTGTTATCTCCTGCTTCGGTAACAAATGAGCAGTGGTCCGTCATTCAAGAGGTTGTCTCAAGTATCGAATTATTGATCAATGACCGACGTACACAACTGTTGTCAATATTTCATCGCAGTGGCGGGACGGGAACATCATTGGTTATTCGTCGAATTCAATTTGAATCAAATACGCGAGGGGTCGATGTGATAAATACATGCCCAACTGGAGTTGGAGCATGCCTTCTTCCAGATGGCCAAACGGTGCATTCTGCACTTATTCTTAATAGTAAGACCAATAAAGCAGACGGGACACTCATTTTACATGAACGAACAATTCGCGTTTCTGTTGGTGCAGATAAGTCAAAGCTGAGTCGGTATCGCGTTACAGCTTCTCGATATTCATGGAATTCGTTTGAAAGATATGTTGTCGATACAGCCTAGAGCCAATCTTTTGATTTACAACATAGCTCATGAGATTCGGAAATTCGTGATCCGCAGGCGGACATATGGAGATGAAGCCTTCTATCTCGCTGAGGCTCAACGCCTGCTCCGATTGCGGCCACTTTTCCGGAGGGACCCGGTGTTCGTTGGTCATCGTCTAGGCTGACTCGAATTTCTTGAGCACTAGAGCAACGCAACTGTACTGATTCCAATTTTGATTCAAAAATAAAAGCAGCTAGCGCAGGATACTGACTCGAAATTGGTAGTCTCGTACGCGTGTTGTTCTGAATCACTTGAGGTAAATCCTTCCACCCACATTTGGCGCTTGTGAGAAGTGATTTTTGTTTATCCCATCCATGTTGTTTTCTCAATTGCGCGACACGGAGTAAAAACAAATTGTCTTGGTCAGTTGGTGCTACCGTGACCCAATGGTGTGCTAGTCCATATCGCTGAGTTAAAGCACTCAACTTTGGATGTGTTGCGACTAGCTCGAATGGCGAAAAGGCACCTCGTTTCCAATGATGGAAATAACTTGCAGTAACGGTGCATTTAGCCTTTGATTCCTTCTTTTCGGGATTGACTTTTGCCCACCGTAAAGTGTCCCGGAATGCTGAATTATTTGCAAGGTGTGCCAACTTCACTAGCGTCCTCGGATGTATAGTACCAACTCGAGCAGCTTTTCAAACAGCACTATGTCGTTGGCGTTGGTTGAGCAACGTCGCTACGGACTTGATGTTCTTCTCAAAGCGCTCATCATTGTATCGAAACCAATGATCAGCTAGCCATTTTGGTATTGTGCCATTTGCAACATGCCCCCCGCTCGCATGAATAACGTCAGGAATGCTCCTGCTAGTAAATACCCATTACAATCCCATTCCACAGTAGGATTTTTTTTTTTTTGACAAACAGCACATACTGGAACATCTTTGGCTTCAGAATCATCTTGTGTACACTTTTGCTGTGGCGCATGCGTATCTCGAAGGAGGTTCGGCATTACAATAATTGCTTCTGTATTATCCGACTGCAGCGATGCAGTTGATGGAAAACTGGAAAGCACAAGATCGGTATTGTTACACTGTTTCTCGCGTGGTCGCTGTTGTTGGAGGTCGATGGGGATACAACTTCGTCATCACAAGACGTACGCACGACATCGCCAAGAGATTCTGCTGTATCGGAACTTGATATGACCAAACTACTCGTAATATTTGCTTCCAGTTCTGCCATAGTTTGTCTCCTGGAAAGCGAGTCATCAATGGAGATGCCTTGACGGCGGATGTACCAATGTAACTGCTCTAGTTCTTTGAACCACGCGTAGATAAAATCGCACGGCAGCTCGTATAGCTTTTTGAATTGCTTTTGGAGAATGCGCCATTGCTTATCGGGACCCACAAAGGTCACGCGCGGCATAGCCTCCAAATCCACGTGAGGCAGCACACCGCTGCATTGGTTTGGCCCATTCGAGGGGAAACAAATGGCGTGTCCTGTAATATGATTCCCTGACAAACAAACTTCGATTCCGAACTTGTGGCGGAGTAGGGGGCGCAAAATCACGTTGCGATCCACTGTGACACTGGACTGCCGACTAACGGAGGGGGTACTCCAATAACCGTGGGGTTGCTGAGGGCTCACCTTGTGTACCCGTCGGCGGGGCTGGCTACACTCCTCTGGTGGACTCGATGAGAGGCTTGGCCTGGGTTGGTCTCGTCTTGGCCCGTAGATAGCAGCGCGTTCGTCGACCTCACGTCCTCGTGTTGCTCTTCTCCTCGTTGTGCCGCGCGTGGTGGTTCTGCCACTGTGTCGACCATTGTGCTAGCGGATCCTTCGCTGGACCTTGCTGGTATACGGGCTTCGTTGAGCGCACTACAGCAGACCATCGACCAGACCGAGGCACTGCGCGAGCTCCGCTCAGATCATGAGGTTCTGCGCCACGAGGGTTTGGCTACACGACGTCGCGCGGAGGACCTGGATCATCAGCTCGCTGACGCGGCCAATGCCGCGTCGCCATACGTGCTCTTTTGCCAGCGCAAGTACGAAGTGGCCCATCACCAGCTGGAATCTACTCGGACGGAGCTCGCCGAGGGCCTGAATGCACTGCAGGAGCGTCTTGACAACTCCCGCGAGCTCGAAGCTTGCCGTCTTCGGTATCCTGACTTGCAGCTCCACTACAACGTAGCGGTGTCTGAATTACAAGATCGGATCTCCACCCTGGAGGAACAGGTGGCCGCTGCTTCTTTCTTCGGAGTGATCGTGCCGCTCGAAACTGCTCACCGCATAGCAGTCTTGGAGTCTCAGCTCGCGCAGTCCCACTCTGACTTGCAAGTCGCGCGTGATCGCCAGTCTTCTCTCGCTTCGGAGCTTCATGAATCGGCTACGTCCCACAAGACTGCTCAAGCAGACGTAGATCGCCTCGAGGCCGCGATCGAGTGTAAGACTTGTCGCTTCCGCACCTTGCGTGACAACTATGAGCGTCGCTTGAAGGTTGCCGACACCACGATCGCCACACATTCCACCGAGCTTAATCGCTTGCAGGATCGGGTATCAACACTGGATCGGGATCTCCAGCAGGCTTCCCACCGTGTCCGCGCTGCGGTTTCTCAGCGCGATCAGGCCAAGGCAGAGCGTATCGGCATCCGTGATTACTATCCGTACAGCTTCGTCTGCGTCGTACTAATTCGTATCTTGTGTCACAGAGGATCGTGTCTCAGCGGCTCGATTTACTAGAGGTCTTTAACAAAACCGAAAAATTGATCATTACGGTTTGGCCACATGGTCCATCCCTCGACTCACATAAAGTTTCGATCGGTAACTTTGAGTTCAACCGGAAACAGCAGCAGCTTTTTGCGGTACGATGTGTAATTTTTACGGTCTCTATGCCGCTGCTAAATCGTCTCCTACCAACACATAAAGTTTAGCATCTTCCTAGACTCCAGATTCGACTTTGTTTTGCACACAACTCTCATCCAAATGGATTAAGCGTGCTTCTCGACAGCCAGGTATCATGGTATAGCCGGTCTCTCAGTCGAGGTGTGCGTCGGCATTACAAGTCCCCGTACTTGCTTCAGCGGCAACTAGCGAAAGAAGAGGAGCAGTACTTTGAAGAAGCCGTTTTGTTCGCTGCGCTGGCGAGTGCGCCACCTCATTGTCCCCGTATTCGGACACGTTTCAACTTCAATGCTCTGCCCGATGCGGTATGCAAATCTCGTTTTCGTTTTGATAAGTCGGAAATGTGTCTACTGGTAAAACTCTTGCAGATTCCAGATAATATTGTCACAAAAGAGCGCACTAAAGCTACTGGTTTGGAGGCTTTATGTGTGTCGTTATACAAACTGGCTGTTCCAGTGCGGTGGGAAGACACTGAAATCTTTTTCGGCCGCTCTAGTAGTGGGCTGTCGAACATTTTCATGCATTTACTCGACTTATTAGATGATACGTTCTCCAGTCTTATACTATTCAACCGTAACATTGCTGCGGCTCGGCTCAAGGAATACTCTCAAGCAGTATTTGATGCAGGAAGTCCCTACACAAACGTTTGGTGCTTTGTGGATGGTACTGTCCGAGGAGTGTGCCGACCTGTACAACGACGTGTACATCACAAGAAAAGAAAGCTTCTCGGTCAGCAGTCGATCTACAACGGGCATAAGAGAAAGCATGCCTTAAAGTTTCAGACTCTGGTAACCCCGGACGGCTTGATATCGCATCTATTTGGTCCGTATGCCGGGAGAAACCACGACATTAAAATGTATCGCGAGTCAAAGATAGCAGATACGATTCGTTTGGACTCTCGGTTCCGCGGTTTTCGAGTGTTTGGGGACTGTGCATACGGCAACGACGACGTCATTGTGAGTCCTTTCGAAGGCGCTATTGGAAATCTAACTGCTGAGCAAACACACATTAACTCATGTATGAGCCGGATCCGAGTCTCCGTGGAGTGGTCGTACGCTCAAATAGTGAGCTACTGAAAGGCATTAGATGTTAAGTCAAGTCTACGTATCGGAACGCAACCCGAACGAAAAATGTATCAGTTTGAGTACTGATGACCAACCGCATTACATGCATTCGTGGGGGGAAACACAGCTAGCGACTACTTCAATTGCCCACCGCCTGACATCATTGAGTATCTTGAGTCTTAGATCACAAATGTAGTTTTTTTTAGTTAGAGTGTACGTAGTGTTAAAAAGTAGCAATAGATCTCGTGCGAAACAAACGTCTACTAATCTTTGTTGACCAACGCTGCACTGAAAATTTTTGCACACTCGAGGATCATGTTTCGGTTGTTTGCCTGAACTTCCATGTCAAACTGAAGCTTAGCTTGGGCCTGCTCCCTCTCGAACGCAAGGCGATCATCAAATTGCTTCTGCTTCTGTTCCAGTTCTCGCACTTTCATATCCATTTGCTCCTTGTATCGCTTTTCCTGGCGCTTCTCCTTGGCCAAAAATGCATTCGTCCTCTTTGGAGCTCTCGCTCCACGCGATGTTGAGCTATCTGTTGCAGACACGTAGCTTCCTCCGTCGCTCACGTCACTGTCGGACAACTCGGCTTCACGATCGGCGCGTCGGCGGTTGCTCTCGGCCACAATGTCTTTCGCGCATTGTGCTAGATCGGCCTCTTTCTTTTGCTTAGAAAGTTTTTTTGCTATCTTCTCGTTTTGGTGAAGCTGCTCAAGCTCGATGAAATACCGAACAAGTCCGTCGACGTCAGAATAGTGGCTCTGGATGTTGACAGTATGGAGAGATTCCTCAACTCCGCTCGCCCCCTTAGACCGCTGCTCATTCGTTTTGAACCTCTTCTTTAGAAGGTTCAAGCGATCACGTATCTGTTTCATCTTTAATTCAACTTTCAGTGCTGTAGATAGGAATTTTGCGACGTTGTCCCACACGTCAAGGGTGGTTCCTCGCTCAGCAGCAAATGGCTTTAATCGGATTAGGTCACGCATCATCTCGCAGTCTTACTCCGTCGAGAACCGGAACACCATCGTTGTTTCTTGATGACTGATTTGTTTTCGAAGTGACAAGTAATATGTAGCAGCTTGATGTGCTATCTTTAGGTAGTTTCCATCTGGCTCAAACCGAAATAAAGATCAGACGCTAAAGCCACTTCCACATCTGACCGGAACGAACTGAAAACCGATC